TATATATATATATATATATATATATATTTATGTCTTATTTTTAATCTAAGGATTTGTGCTGCATGATTTAGAATAGATGAAGTATTAAAAATAAATAGTTGAAACTCCTCTTTAATGCTCAACAATTGCTCTTTCCCTTCATTTTTTTTTCATTCGAAAGTGATTACCTAATAATCTTATAATGTTTATAAATATTAATTGATATGCATTGTAATTTTTAATTTTTTGAACGAATATTTTGGTGGATAAGTGTTCTTTATTTGTTTAGTGTTTTATAGCTTCAAGTGTGTGTCTTTTCTTTAGTGAGAATTAGTGATTTTTTTTTATTTCTTTTATGTTATTCACTACTCTTCAATAACTACTATAAACTCTTCACGGGATCTTTCTCCATTTCATTAACATCGTCTAAGATTATTAATCCAACAACAAAAATCTCATAACCTCTTTAAACACTTCAATATAATTTCCCGCTAAATTCGAGAAAACTATAACCTAGTCATGTTTTCTACACTTGAACATCATCTTAAGTAGGGGTGTCAATATTTGACACTTGAACATCGTCTTATAATGCTTTTCTTCCTCCGTGCGTCGGCCAAACCTATAACAATCTCTTCTTTTTGTTGATGAGTGTCTAGATCTACCTGTTGAAGTTAAGTCTGATTTTTACTTATTGATTTGGGCGTTGATTTATCATATTTGAAAAGATCGAAATGATAGGAGGTTTGGAAGGAAAATTGACAGCCTTGGTTTTGCTCTTACGTGTACAAAAACAAGCAATTCAACTCAAATTATTCAAGTAGAAATATTGACACTATTTTATATATAGATATGTATTAGCTATGTATTATTGTGTATTAGCCAATATACATTAATACACAACAATACATAACTGAATACATAATAATATCTAATAATACATAATGATACACTGCTCCACGAATCCGGACACCAGACGTAATGATTTTATCATCCCTAAAGAAGACGCTTGGCGGAATAACTAATCTCTTGACTTGCCTATCATCAACAAACTCCACAGTTGCCGAATCACGCGCTTATTTTATCCCGAGCTTAAAAACTTTATACCATTCAAATGAATGTATTCCTTTGGGCAGTAGGTGGAAGAGCATTAGTTGCTAGCTGACTTTGAGAGAGAGAGAGAGAGAGAGAGAGAGAGAGAGAGAGAGAGGTTAGTAGGTGAAAAGGATCATACTAGCAGCTGACCAGTCCCATCCATGAATAAGCTGTTGCTTGAAACCATCCACAATTTCCCTCATGGTAGAACTAATTCCATTAAGACTAAACTTCAACTTTATTTGGAATTGCTTTCTTATTACTTCTTAAATCAATTTTTTAGTATAAATTTTTTTATTTTTTAACTGCACTAAAAAACAGTAAGAAAATCATCCCAAACAAAACCTTCATTTGATACAACTTTCTTATTGCTTTCTTGAAGCATTAAGAAAACTATTTTGGAACAAAACCTAAAACTATTTTGGAACAAAACATAAAACTAAGATTTTATCAGAATGAATAAAAAACTGTTCATTCAACAGAAAAAAAAAATGGATTTTCAAACTGGCCAAAACATAATTCTCTCAAGTATTCATCAAAATTCAACTCAAAATTCTCAAAAAGTTTAACCAATCCCCAACTTTTCGGGTCGAATTCGAATAAAATTGGAACATTGATAACCTTAAAAAAAAAGGAAAAATAATGACTCTGTAACACTCCAACAGTAAGCAATCTAATCCAAAATTAATGTCATAATGACATACATATTCCTAATGCACAATCCTTCTTCAGTTGAGGCAAACTATGCCAATTTTTTATGCCTTCTTTGCAAGGGAGAGATCCATATGCAAATATGCAATGCAAGCACTGAAGAACAGGAAAATTGCAGTTATAAGCATCAACGGCTCTGCAAGCATGAATATTGGGTTGAAGTTGTAGTAGACCTGAAAGGCAGCAAAAGCCACGGATAGAGTTATTTCAAGAATATAAGATTTTACACAATGGAAGAAAACAACATAACTGGACAAATAGAAGCTTTATGCTAAACTCAGCCTTGATTGGCATTTGAATCCACTTTGATTTGAAGGAATTGCATCAGAGAAAGCAAAATTGAAATGGTAAAGGAATTGAATTGAAATTAGTTTTCATGCTTGTTTTGGTGAGAGAATTTGAGAGAATGGCTTTTTTATTCTTGTTTGACTAATTAGAAATTGTGTTTTTTGTTTTTTGTGGGGACATGAATTATAATAATGACAATAAGACTGGGTAGAGATTTGTATATGAAAATTTTTATTATATTTCCTAGATAAATCCCATTAAAACCCAGTATGAAAAATGTGAATTAAAAAACATTTATATTTTCTATAACATATTCAAACATATGATCTTTCTTTACACAAAGGATTCATGTAGCTGACCCCACATAGTGAGACAAAGGCTTGATGTTGTTGTTGTTGTTGTTGTTGTTATTGTTGTATATTCATATATAATATAGCATAAATGATGAAAAGAAGGGTAGAAAAGTAATGGAAAAGCCAAAGTAGCATGAGATGTTTGAACAAAAACTGATGAAAATGACTTGTATTAAATGCTTAGAAAAATATTGGTCCACGGAAAATCTAAAAGAGTAATGCTTCAGCAGCCGAATTTTGTAAGAGAAATTGGTCTGTTGCTTTTGTTTATATCATATTATTATTCTATTGGACGATAGTAGTTTAATGGAGAAAATTTTGATTAGGATATCCCGACTAAAATTTGGTCTGGATGAATTTTATTACAACTGAGTATGTTTTGAGATGAGTGCAATACAATTATTCTATCAAAATTTATACTGCACTCATCCTAAAGCAAACTCTTTGGCCCCTTTTTTAACTATAATACCCTGATTGCATAAAAAGCCATATTGTTCGATTCCATTTCCTGGACAAAAACTTCGGTTGCCACCACATCATTACTCAATCTGAAATGTTTTCATGGAAAGATATAAGATTAACAAATTTTCATCCATGAAAACTGTCTTAAATGATCATGAACAAATGGGCCCAAGTTACAGGCATCACTTCGCTTTTAGTTTCAGAATTTATAGCATAGAATGGACTTTCAGTCTGCCAAATCATGTGATGATAATGAAAAAATGCTGGCATTCCTAATCAAGTTTATATTTCCAACTAATGTGAATATTACCTGGAAAGGAACGTTGTGCTCTGGCACCACATTCTTTTTCTTGATGACTACTGTAGTCCTCCCCACAACATCAAGGTACGAGAAAGTTTTCTACAACGACCACAACAAATTACTTCATGCATTGAAGTAATGAATATGAACTATAAATAAATAAATAAATTATATATATATATATATATATATCACATCTAAGAATGATGATGAATTTGAGTCATATGAAAATTGATAAACTATTAAATTACCTCTAAATATTGATCTGCTCCAAAGGGAAGTACAGCAGATGGACTTTTGGATCCCTCAGGAAGGACAACCTGAAAATACAAAGCAAACTCTTTGTAAAAAAAATTAAGTTGGGTTAAACAATACTGTTTGCATTTCCATTGCCAGGAATTGATCATACTTGATCGCACCCTCCCATACACAGAAACAGTTTTTTGTTTTCAAATTTAGCTCAGAGGATGTGATGAAGTACATCATTCCAATATAATAAACCTCATCAATGCTTAATGGTTCATTATTTATTTGAGACAAAATATTCATAGACACATTAAATATTTTAAGATAAACATATGAGATTCAAATGCTTTAGGAGCAATTAAAATCCAAATTCTCAAGAAGCAAAGCATGGATGCAAGACGATTTAAAATTTTTGCACTTCAATTGAAGAAAATAAGAATACCTACTTCGTTTGTTCATGTTTCAGGCAAGATACAAGCAAAATGTACAGAACCACTCACATGGTCAGTGTTATTTTGAGAACAGTGAAGCTGTGATTAAAAAGTAGGGCAAAAAAACACCCATTAGACAACAGCAAGCCTTTATCCCATTACGTGAGGTTGGCTATATAAAAATGGATAGTATACCTATATTTATGGGATAAAAATTATTCAAAATGATCTGTGATGAACAGGCTCAACATCTCAAGGAGAACCCAACAGGAATGAATGAAAAATGAGGATTCATAAAGTTGGCACCAAATAAGTAGAATAAAGCTAATGATGATGATGATTTCAACATTGAAAAGAAAAAAGAAAAGAAAATCAGGACAAAAACTTTGATTCATGTAGATAACATCCAACAAGAGACTTAAGATTTTACTTGTCTTATCATGACACTTTTTCTAAATATAAACATGAAAGGAATGATATTATCAGCATTTTTACAATTTTAATTTGTATTTCCTCTAAGTTACAGCCTAAATGACTTCAAATTCTCCAACAAAAGAAAAAAAAAAAAAAAAAAAAAAAGCTCACAACTCCATCTATAAACCCATATATTTTAGAACTACCTTAGTCCTATGCAAGGAGTGATGCATAAATTAGATTATTAACTTGGGGTGCGAACATAATTTTAGTGATCAAATTATGAAGGGAATTTTCAATCTAATCATTTGCTTCAAAAAAGTTCATGAAAGGACATTACCTCACAATTTGGCATCAGATTGTGAACAGAAAAAGAGATCTAATTAATTGATGATTCTAGATCATCTGATTGCAAGATGTAGACAATCAACAAAGATGATTCTAATAGCAAATTAATGAGATCGAAAAGACATCCTCAAAAGTTCACTAACTAACACCAATCATCAATCAAAGGCTTAGTGATCAAGATCAAGAGGCAAAAACTATGGACCATTGGCTTGAAAAGTACAAATTATAGTAAGATAAAGATGAGGTTCAATTTTAAACTTGATCTAGCTAAGTTTGTATTTGAATTTAAATTCTAAGTTAGAATAATTTTATTGTATTTTTTTTTAATTTAAAGTTATCTACTATATATTTTTAGATATAATTCTCTCTTTTGTGGAGTTTATTCAGGATTGGATAGAGACTTATCATTAATGTAATTATCTATAAAAAGGCCATTTTTTTTTTGCAAAATTCAATTTCAATTCTCCCGAAATCCTCAATTTCTCTCCCACTTCTCTCTTAGCTATCGGCCACCTCTTTAAGAGCTACCAGTCCTCCCTCCAGAAGTCAAATTATTTGCTGCCAGCTACTAACCAGAGCCACCAGCTGCTGTCTCGTTTAGTACCAGAACTTCTGGTCAATCTCTGCTGTTGTTGCTGCCGTGGAGTTCCACTGCTGTCCAGTTGCTGGCTGAAACTAGTAGAGAGAGAAAGAAAGCCTAGTATTACAAGCTGTCCCAGCAGAAACAGTAACCTACTCGCTATATGGGAGTATAATAAAGGCAGAAACAGAAACCAGCTTGATGTTCCAGAGAGAACAAGATGCAACATAAGAATGACAAATTTGTTGATGATAATGAAGAATGGAAGAACATGCTAAGGTTGAATAGTTGGCCGCCTCCAAATGACAGCATTACAAACTTTTTTAAGGCTTAATTAAATAAACTTATTAAACTTTTGATGTGAAACATACATGCGGAAGAATTGCTTTGGATTGTAACAATAATTATTGAACATGAACGTTGCTAATTAGTAACTTATGTTTCACCCAAGTTAAATTCTTAGAACTTTAGTGAAAAGATTAAGTAATGGCAAACGGTTACAAGATATTAGCAAAGCAATCGCAGTAACAACGAAAACAAGATAGTAGTACTAATAGCAAATAAACAAGAATCCACGGTGTAACATCAAGATATAGTCACTAAGAGTTCATTCTCACTCAATCACTCTTAGGCTTTATCGGAGGAGGATGAAGCACACGAGGAAAGAGATTACCACTAGGAAGATGGTACCGAAGACCTTCGTTGATGGAGAGGTAGCCGAGGGTGCAGGAAGTTGTGGATGACCGATGATTATCCAATGGCCCGGACAGATATGCTCTTCGATTGATAGTGTGAAGTTGGTATAGGATGCGGTTGATGTATTCATCAACGGTCTCGTTGTTGCCAAAGTACACGTCAAAGAACGGGGATCCAATAATATCTGTGCGTACTTGCTCGTCGAAGACAAATCCGTGGTTGACCTCAGGGTCGGCCATCCATGGATGTGGAGGGCTCCTCTCTTGAACCCCTTGGGGCCGGCGGCTTGTGCAACAAGAAGGGGAAAAGAGAGAGAGAGAGAGAGAGAGAGAGAGAGAGAGAGAGAGAGAGAGAGGGGGAGAGGGAGGCCGGTGATAGGCTAGGGTTGGAGGGGGGAGAGGGGCGGCTAGGGTGAGGAGTTGGGAGAGATTTAATTTCAAAATCTGAAATTATGTTCATATTTTTAATTAGAATCGGCTAGGAGAATTTCAAATTTGAAATTTGAAATAAAAGGAGATTGTGAGGGAATTAGGGGGAGAGATTTAATTAATGGGATCCTTAATTGGATTCCAATTAATGGAATTGGAGAGATGAGGGGTTGCCTAATTAGGTTAGGAAATTTAGGAAAGAACTTAATCCAAATCAATTTGAATTTGAATTTTAAAATCCCTCCAAATTTGGCTACCTAAATTAGGAAAGTAGTCAATTTAGTTAATGGGGATTAAGGGGCGGGTGGTGTATGGCCGGCAATATGGTGATGGGGGAGGAGAGGTGGTGGAGCTAGGGTGGAGGCCAAGGGTGGCGGCAGGAAAGATTAAGGTGGGGCGGTGGGTTGGGATGATGATCTGGTAGGGAACAAAGAGGGAGTGGTGGGAGAGAGAGAGCAAGCCAGCGGTGGGTGGGAGAAAGGGGGGGGGGGGGGGGGGGAGGGAGAAGCGGGGGAGAGGTCAGAGGAGAAGCGATGAACAAAAATTAGAGCTGCAAACCCTGGATCTTTCCAAAAGTTGACGGGTATTGCAATTGCCCACACCTTGAGTTTACCTTCTTCTCTCAAACACTCAACATTGAGGGAGACAGAGAAATCTGAATTTTCATTCATCAATCATCATCCGATTACAACACAAAGGACCACTATATATAGATCTCAAACATAAAAAAGAAAAGAAAAGTACACAATTGCCCTCTAGGCTACAATGACAAAACACTTCCCCATAGGGGTAAATTCGGAAAATAACAAAATTAAATAAAACATAATGCATCAAAAGTAGAGCCGTTGAATCGTAGTCGTCAATCTACGATTCCGTCGCCGGTACACATGTCTGAATCTCCGAATGATGTTCTCATCAACTTTATTTTATTATTCCATTTTATATTTTTAAGAATATAATTTTACTGAATTAAGTTGAGATAGTAGTGGTGTAAGAATGTCAAAAATATAAAGTATCATGCGAGATGAACTCTTAGACCAAGATGAATGTCAAACAATGCTATATTACTTGCCATCTCACCTTGTCATGTCATCTAAAATCAAGTCAACATGTATGGTTGGTTTTCGATGATTCTTTGAAGGTTCTAGACGTGATCTTTCACATTCCAAGGAACATTAAATAAATTGTCAATAATTATTGAGTTTCCAAGAAGAGGAATTAAAGATGAAGCAAATTTCCATACAAAATTTCATGGCCAACCACCCTTTCCTCTCTCTTGCAATGTTTTCTTAAGCTTATGCTTATAAATATGAGAAACTCATATATGTTATGATCTTCTGATAAAATAGAAATCATTTGGAGAAGTATTATCTTCCTCCTTAGGGAAAGCTCGGTGCTAATCTCTTATAATTAGTTTTGTGACCTTGGATATCCCTCTTTAATGAGAGGTTTAATATTTGACATTTTTTATTTTATTTGTGTGATTTCCTTCTATATTTCTCATTTACACTTCTGCTTTGAGTGTTTTGTGGCTTCTCTCTAAGTTCTTGCGCCCCTACATTAAATTATTTACAAAACACCCATATCACCCAATATTTGTAGACCAACCTTCATTTCACTTGATAGATCAAAATCTCCATATAACAATCATAAAAAAATTTCAGAACCTTATTCCAAATATGCTACGCTTTTAAAAAAGGACAAATAACCCTCCTAACTTCAAACCTAACTTCCACTTAAGTTTCTCATAAAATTTGCCAACACAAAACAAACCAAGTCCAAGCCTCCTCCTTGTAGGTCTCCTACACCCTTTGATCTTCCACCTTGTAAAGTCCAAAACCTGTCAAACCACCACTAATAAATTCCCCACCATCCCCTTTAATCAAGTAAAATTATTTCGTTAGGGATCCATTATATCCATTCTATCAAAATAAGAGTAGAAATAGCATGATAGTTGGTATCCAATGCAGAAAAAAATCTCAAAACTAAGTTTAATTGTTGGGAATAGTAATGAGAGAACCCATATCAAGAAGAAAAATTCATTTACATATGAAAAAACACTTAAAAAACTTTAATTAATTGATATATCATTAGAAATCCTACAGGAAATTTTTCTGAAAACTTCTTCATCTATTATAGCCTTTTATTATAAACTTGTGTCATAATGTTAAGAGGTT